ATTGGGAGGATCCTCCCAGGATGGGAGATGCATGCTGAAAGTAGACTATAGACCAAACATGACTGCCACTCAATGCCTCTTTTGCAAACCACAGCACCCAAAAGGAGAGAGAGAACAAAAGGGAATGCCCTGCCAGATAGGCAGGGTGGGCTGGGGGACATGAGGGGTCGGAGGGATACTGGGATCAGTGGTGGTGGAAAATGGGCACTGGTGGAGGGATGGGTACTCGATCATTGTATAATTGAAACCCAAGCACAAAATAGTGTAAGTTTACAACGGTACCTCATGGTGTTTCACTAATAAAAATTTAAAAAAAAAAGAAGAAAGAAAGAAAGTTTCTAAGTCTGTAACTGTATCTCACGCTGATTCATTAAAAAGCACTGCACTGTAAAAAAAAAAAATTCAGATCAAGTGGTCAAATTCCTAGGAAGATATAAACTACTAGAACTCACTTCACTCAAAGACAATCCTAAAAGCACCATATCCATTTGTTGATTATCAATATATCCCCACGGAGAGGATAGTTTCACCAGGAAGCATTTGTGAGTTTCCAAAAGAAGAGCATGGTGACACATGGAACTTGAGCGTTAGATGGCCGAGAACCATTCCCCTGGCCGGCCCAGGGTGATGGGCAGACAAGGGACTGGGAGAACAGAGAAACAGGGACTGGACCCCAGGCTGACTGGTAGTCGGTTTATTTCTCTCTCCTCCCCAGCATAGTTAGATCTCTCCTTTACAGCACAATCACAGTCATAGTTTTGATTGCAGTCCCAGTCATCATAGTTCCCTCATCCTTGTACTCTTCGTAGTCCTCTTAGTTCTCACTAGTCATCATCTAGTCTTCGTCCAGTCCCCTCTTACTCCTTAAAGCATAGTTGTATAGAAATCATGAAGGGTGGGGGTACACATAGGTGAGGCTGAACACTGTCATAACAACAAATAGATGTAAGGCCACTCCTTCAGGGGAAGTTCTAGATTACTTCAAGGACAAGATCTCATCTGAGGGTTCACACTCGAGATTACCAGGAGATCTGCTCAAGGGTGGCATGCCAACTAGGGTGTATTGCTTTCTCCTTTACTCAGCTAGTAATCCATTTAAACAATCATAATAAGTTTACTTCTTATAATATTTCTAGTCATTCTGTATGAAGTATTAAGCTTAAAGGTTGGGTCTTCCTGGGAACATCTTGCTATATATCCCAGATTACAGCTCTCAGGCCTAGTTAGTCTTTCCTAACCCCAGCATGGTCCTTATTCAGTTACTTCTTTTTGGGTCATGACAGAGTTTGTTCCATGACCATGCTCTTAACTTCTTATGGCACTTAGCTTGTTCCCTTTTGATGCCAGAGTAGCTTACAGCTTGCCCTGGGTCCATCCAGTCCCTTCGCCAGGACCTTCCTTTTGGGAGTATTAGGAAGTAAGGTTTTAGGAAGTAAGGTATTAGGCAACTGAGGTTTGTCAGGTAAATATGATGGATGCCCAGGAGTAAATATTTGGAGTCAATTGACTCCCATGTTACCAAAGCATAGCATCATCTGTCCCCTGTGTCTATACAGAAAGGACAGTGCTAAATAAACCATGCAAATGACATAAAGAAAAGAGAAAAGCAATATTGGATTATCAGTGCTTGATGGAATTGGGTGTGCCTCAGAGGCACTGTTGTGGGAGTAGCTCAATTAACCTCAAGCTCCCGTGGGAGGAGCAAGGACAACCCAATGTTATCCAATAAGCACGAGTAAACATTACTGAAAATGATTATTAATGAATCTATAAAAATTCTCCCAGAAAACATCAGGTGGTGAAGTACTTCCCAAATCATTTTATGAGGCCAGCCAGCATTATCCAAAAAACTTAGACCAGGTTGAGAGATTGTGAAGTAAGTAAGGCATTTGCCTCATACACAGCCAACCTGGGTTTGATCCCTGACACTACATATGGTCCTCGAGTACCACTAGGAATGAGAATCAGGAGTAAGCCTGAGTTCCACTAGGTGTAGCCCAAAAACAACAAATTTAAGACACACATGCATAAGAAAAAACTAAAAAATTCTAAAGATCGATATATTTCCTGTCCAAAGAGTCAAAAATCCTTAATAAATATTATTGGAAACCAAAGACTTTTAAAAAATATTTTTTACAGTGCATCTTATGATGATTCAAAAAAAAAAGAAAAAAAAAGACTTTATTTTCTAGGAAAATACAGAAAGGCATCTGACCATATGACCATATACCATAACATACTAAAACACAAAGCCATGACAACTGAATGGATATAGAGAGCGCATTTAACAAATTCAATTTCATTTGTGAAAAAAATAAACATTAGTATCTATTCACTATCCTTAGCTCTAACATTATCCCCAAGTAAAATTATAATTAGTCCAAGTAATAATTATTGACGATTTTAATGTCCATAGCATTTATATTTATTACATACTTTATCATCTTAATATCCCATGTTTCTAAAACTCTATTCCAGTCTTTGATCTTGTTTTTGTTTTTGCTTTTGGGCCACACCTGGCTGTGCTCAAGGCATACTCTCTGGCTCTGTGCTCAGGGAACATTCCTGGTGGGCTAGAGGGACCATATGGGGTGCAGGGGATCAAACCTGAGTTGGCTGCATACAAGGTAAGTGCCCTACACCTACAGTCCCTCTGACCTCTTCCCATCCAATGAGCCTCACCCATTTCCACCTCTAATGGTACCCCTTTCATTTCCAAGCCTTTCACCCTCCAACCACGACTGATTTTCATGACCTACAATCCACTCACATATCAACATTCTACTGTCCTGAGCAGTTCCTGTTCTTACTTGCCTCCTAACCACACACAGATTCCATAGTCAATTACTCAACCTCCTTGTACCTTCTACCTTAGTTCACTAACCTGGCAAAATCCCAACTCTAATGAAAGCCAATCCTCTCTAAATGTTCCCTGCCTTAATCTAAAGCACACAGCTGGAAAAACAAGGCAACATATTCGCTCTGCTACCTTGTAATATTTCAAATTCATTCCCATTCATTTCCTGACCAGTAGTTCCATACAGCCCAAATTTAATTCCTACAAATCATGTAACTTTTCCCTTTCTTACAACAACTGCTGTGCCAGAAACTCCAACTCTGTCCTCATTCTGCTTCTTCCCTGTCTGCAACTTCCCTGCAACTTCCCTGCTCCTGGTGGAACTCTTCTTCCTAGGGGCTAGCCCCAGGCAAGAGTTACCTCAGGTCACCCCCAGACCCTTGGGGCTACAGATTCAGACCTCAAAGAAACAAAGGTCTCCGGTGACTTTTACAACTATCCCTTGGTGGCCCCACTCCAGCAGTTCCAAATGCCTAAACTAGCTTCCTCATCTCTTTCTTCTAACAAATAATTCTGCAGCAATCACAGAGCGCTGAGCTGGAGAGATAGTATAGCATGTAAGGGCGCTTGCCTTGCATGCAGCTGACCTGGGTTCAGTCCCTTAGAAGTCAATAAGGACATCTGCCAGGAGTGATCCTTGAGTGCAGACCCAGGAGTAACTGCCTGGTGTGGCCCCAAAACAAAACCCAAAAACCATAGAAATTCTCTTTTCCTGAATGAACTCAAAATCTTGGGATGATTAAAAGAAAATCAGAATCTAAGGGATAAAAATCTAAGATAATTTCTGCTTTGACAGAATCCATCTGTTGCTGCCACTAAGCAAGACTTGGTAGTCCATGGCAGAGTGACAGATAGTAGAGTGGATAGGGCATTTGCCATAGAATGCAGTGGTGAAATATTTTGTTTATCACCAGCAGACAAGTATAAGCAACAAGCTAAGGCTTGGGTACTTGCTGTCACAGAATATTTTAATAAAAATCAATTGTTTAAGGTTGTTTAAGGAGTCATTAGTTGCTTCTAAGTGCACTAAATTGGTAAGAATATCAAAGCTAGGAGCTGAAGTTGACAGGTAAAGTCCATGAGTAACGCACCAGGAATCTAAATAAATGGCTTAACAGAAAGCTGGATGTCACCTAGAGACCAGGCTGAGATTCTTGAAAAGCATATCCTGCAGGTGGCTGAGGCAGGAGGCAAACGCAATTCACACCCTCACAGGGTGTCTTCGATAAAAAGTTAAAATCTTGACTGAGAAGAACTGTGGACAGAGCCACTAAGAAGAGTCTGATAAAGCTGAGGACCGAGAGCCCCTGAAATCCTCCTTGTCCTCACCGCAAATAGAAGTGGTCCTTCTTTGCCTGTCTAAGGAAACTGGTTTCCCTTTGCTGGAAGAACGTGGTTGGGGCTCTTCTGAGACAGGAGCCTTCCCAGGGACTGCTGCTGTTCCCAAGAAATCTCTCCAGAAACCTCTCAGGATCTGGACATGTGACCGGACTCAGAATGCCAGAAGGTGCTGGGGGTCAGACACAAGTTAAGACCTGCAATGACATGCACGCATATCCAGAAAACTACACGAGTCAGTCAATTCATGTTAACAGACATCTGGAACATCTCAGTCCAAGGCCTGGCTTCCCTGTGGGTTCCAAGTTACAGCTGGCCAAACGAGAACCCTGGGCCGGCAACCGGGAAGACAGAAGGAAGGCAGCAGGGTGGTCTAAGGTAATGAGACACACATGCAGAGGTGCGGCCGACCCGAGCTTGCTCCCCTCTTTCTCCCTGTCTGTGTCCTCTACCCACGCTGTAACCAACTCTTCTCAAATTTGCTAGCCCTGCCCGCCTAGAGCACCCCAAGCTCACCAGAAATGTGTCCACTACCTTCCATCTACACCCAGTTCTACAGGTTCATGACAGAACACTACATGTGAGCTGTTCTTGTGATATACAAGCGCGTGAACAGTTCTGTGTGATATACCTTCATTCTTTCATTCTCAAGTGCCCTTCAATGAGCACGTAGGAGTTTTATGTAGACAAATAATTTCAATGGAATTTTACACATTTCAAGAGACCTTCCCAGTTTGGAACACTTAAAGGTCCTCAGCAAAAATGAAATGAAAAGAGATTTGAAAGAATAAGACAAAAGACTTACATCATTGGACTGAAACAAGCGTGTCATGGCAAAGAAGGCTTCTGTGGCTTCCATGGTTCCAAAGTATTCACCCTAAGGAAAATTTAAAACACTTTCTGAAACCTAAAAAATAACACTAAGAATTTTCTCTTTAAGTCTAAAAACAACAACCTTTACCAAGAAGCAGAATTGATAAACATTCTATGTCTGCTAATTTTCTGGCCTTCATTTATGGCCATTTATTTGCTACTGCGCTAAAATAATTTAATATCACACTGTGATATTGCAATTATATTCTATATAGTTATATACATATGTATAAAAGTTCTAGAATTACCTTAACCTTTACCAAAACTTTTAATTTTATAAAAATGTTATTTACAAGGTGGTAGAAAATGACATAAAGTTGAATTTCTAATCAGAATAGAATTTTACTACCATACTTTACTTTACTTACTTACTGTCTGCACGCAGAAAGCAGACAGTATACATTTTTATAACCCACTGTCCAGCAGAAAGCCTAATATAGGAGCATGAGAAATATTAAACTGTAAAAAACTCTTAGAAACCTCAGAATATAGGGCCAAAAGGGAACAAGCAAAAGGGTAAGAACCAGCTTAGTCATATAAAAGGCTCAAGGGCTGCTTAACAAAACTCAAAAATCCTGGCTGAAGCCTCTGAAAGCCTTAAGGTGATTAACAAATCATCTGAGGATAGTGCCAAAGACTTAGATTCAGTGGCTTCCAGGGTGAAACCTGAGACTATGTGTTTCTAACAAGCCTAGTGATGCGAATGATGCTGATCTGGAAACCACATTTTTTAGGTAGCAAAAGTGCTGGATTCCCTATTTCACTAGTATTCAAAACATTACAGATAAAAACTCTCACACTCATGAAATGGGGGTTAGCAAAGTGAAAGGTAGGGTGGGGAGGAACGAAACGAGGGTATTCTGGGTATTGGAATAGCCTTGCAATGTTCGTGGTAAGTTATTACACTCATAGCAAGCTGTGAAACTAAACTCCTGAAATTATATAAATACTGTAACCTAATAATAAATTCATTAATTTTTTAAAATTTTAAATTGCAGGGCCAGCGAGCTAGCTCAAAGGGGTGGGCACATGTCGGGCATCTATGAGACCCTGAGTTCGATCTCAACTGCTTGCCCCTCTAAGCACTGCTAGATGCATGCTGGTGGGTCCCTGCAAGAGGTTCCAAACCATCAGACCCATCAGCAGCAGGTCCAGTATCACTGGGAGTGATCCCCAGAACCCCAAATGCCACTGGGGAGGCCTGAGAAATGATAGGTCCATCACAGACTACTTGAAACATGACCATTTCTATATTTAACCACTATATTATAGGCATACCTACAGAGTAGGCTCAACCGGTCTTCAGAGTGTCAGACTCCACACAGTCGTGTGGAATTAACTAGTCTTTAATCTCTGCCGTGGGTATAAGAAAATTAATTATGATACAAATTTTTGAAAGTTTATGATTAAAGTAAATTTTCAGGGTTTGTAACTATTTGAGGCAGAGTATTCAACTTGACCATTAGAAGAAAATTTCACTCTTTTATAAATATTTACTGAATACATAAAATACCTAAAGTTCCATATACTTCTGAGCCCGGTTAGCAAGTCCTTAGGGCTTAAATTGTCTACTTGAAACCCAGACAGCGAAGAGCTCTGTCAGTGCTGGTAGATATGTTTACATAAAGCTCTAGCAAGAAGTAAGCAAAAGACAAGTTAGGTAAAGGTAAAAGGTAAAGGCCCTCCCGTTGATCGTCGATTTGCTCGAGCGGGCCCAGTAACGTCTCCATTGGAGACTTTGTTGTTACTGTGTCTGGCATATCAAATACTCTCGGTAGCTTGCCGGGCTCTCCGAGAGGGGCGGAGGAATCGAACTCGGGTCGGCCATGTTGGCCGCTTGTAAGGCAAACGCCCTACCCGCTGTGCTATCGCTCCAGCCTAAGGTTCTCAAATCTGTATATGCTGTTGACTTTTGTTTGCTATTTTTTTTTTTGAACCAGGGCTTACTTCTGATTCTGTGCTCAAGGATCACTCCTGGCAGTGCTTGGGGAAACCATATGTGGTGCCAGGGATCCCCCTGACTGGTAAAGTCACATGGAAGACTTTACCTGCTCCCTCTCTGACCCAGCAGTTGACTATTTATTAGACTGTCACTGTCCACTGTCCTCCCGTTGTTCATCGATTTGCTCAAGCGAGCCCAGTAACGTCTCCATTTTTTTTTGAGACTTGTTGTTACTGTGTTTGGCATATTGACTACGTCACGGGTAGCTTGCCAGGCTCTGCCGTGCGGGCGAGATACTCTTGGTAGCTTGCTGGGCTCTCCAAGAGAGGCGGAGGAATCGAACCTGGCTCGGCCAGGCTGGCTGCGTGCAAGGCAAACGCCCTACCGCTGTGCTATCTCTCCAGTCTACGGCCATACCACCCTGAACACGCCCGATCTCGTCTGATCTCGGAAGCTAAGCAGGGTCGGGCCTGGTTATTAGACTAAACTAATAATTTCCTTCTCAAGATAATGAAAATGACTCAACAGGAATTGCCCATCATCAAAGAGGTACTGGCCAAAATAAAAATATATGCCCATAAGAACCCAACATCGATTACTATAAACTCTGCCTACATACTCAATTAGCCAACTCGAACACACTGTGTGCTACGAAACTTCAACTGAACTAACTTTGCCTTAAACTTTTCCAGTACACTATTCTTGAAGGTATAAAGTATGCCCGTATGGCTTTATGGCTGAGCCCTTATGGCTCAGTCTTCTTTTGCAACCACAACACTTTACTACATCTGTGAAAGTCTTCAGTCCTGACAGATGCATAGTAAAGACACATTTTCCCATCATTCAAACCACAATCTTTTAGTACCATATGTGAACTACCTGACATGTGTATACAAATCTAAAAAAATTAACTAAGGCCTTAGATATTTTATGCTTTTTTCTTTTTAGTTTGAAGCAAGAAAAAATTTAAGTTAATGACTATACTAGCAAACAGAATGTATATTCCACTAAGGAAAATAGTTTGTTGATTTTTTCTGCTAGATGATACAGATATAAAATAAATACTTGCTAAATTACTGACAGAAAATTCCTTCTGAGTATTTACGATGTCTCCAGGACTACTCTCAAAGTTTTATATCTATTATTTCACTAACTCATTTACTCATGAGAATATTACAATCTCCACTTACATAAAAGGGAAGAATATGGTACAAAATAATAAACTCAGAATCAGAAAAACAGTGGAATAGGTATTATGAACATGAAATCTAAACACTACAGTTGAAGCTCTTCGTCACTATTGTAAACCACTTCCCCACCACACAGACAAAAGAGCAAGATATATTTCTGGGACCAGTCATACTTGTTCAATTCAAATCAATACTGAGAATCTAATTCCATGCCTATGCTGAAAGTAGACTATAGACCAAATATGATTGCCACTCAATGCCTCTTTTGCAAACCACAACACCCAAAAGGAGAGAGAGAACAAAAGGGAATGCCCTGCCACAGAGGAAGGGTGGGATGGGGGGGGATCGGGGGTGGGAGGGATACTGGGACCCATGGTGGTGGGAAATGGGCACTGCTGGAGAGATGAATATTTGATCATTGAATAATTGAAACCCAAGCACAAAAATTTGTAAGTCTACAACTGTACCTCATGGTGTCTCACTAATAAAAATTAAAAAAAAAAATCCATGCCTAACTGATTAAGTCCTTCATAAATGAAAAAAGAACTATTTATATCAGAGTCCTTGCCAAACATCTTCCTTACAGCCTGTTAATCAAACATAATTTTAAGTAAAGTGTATTTAAAAAACAATCATCATCCATATTTTCCACCAAGTACTTTACTGAAGGCTATACCTTTCTATTGCTCCAGAACACCAATGTAAGGAAAATCAAAATAATTTACCTGGTTCAGTAGGTAAAGAATCTTCGTAAGAATATGCAAACATCTTCTTGGATTGATGGGTGTTTCATTGAATATACGAGCCTGTTGATACAAAAAAAAATATTGTTATCTATGATAGTTACTTTTCTTCCAACCTATTAGAAATTATAGGAAACCAACTTTAATAAAGAATATTATGCATTTTAATCAAAATACCTAAATAAGGTTAGCTAATTACTGCTTTCAATTTATGAGGGTTTATGACAATCACTCAACATGATCTTGATTTTCTACCCTTCTCAATCATTTCTATTTTCTAACTCATTTGCTTAGGGCTATTAATTCAACTTTATGGTCTCTATCTGGTAAGTTAAAAAAATCAAAGTGTGGGGGCCAGAGCAATGATACTGCAGACACCAAAGGGTACTTGCCTGGCACAAGGCTGACCAAGGTTTGATCCCTGGTTCCCCAGCCCTATAGGAGTGTTCCTTAGTGCAGAGCCTGGAGTAAGGCTGGGGGTGGTCCCCTCAAAAAAAAATAAACCAGTATTTACCTATATAATTCAAGTAGAATGAGCTTAATCTATATAACTTCTCTCACTAACCACATACTCCCACCTCTCTGGTATTGTCAAGCATCTAGCCGTCAGCATTTTTTTTGCATCTTTTTTGGCTCTAGTATCTCAGGTAAGAAATCTCTCTTTCTTTTACTCACATTTTCAGTTACATTTTTCAATCTTATTTTTAGCCCTTTTTGTATTACATTGTCTATCAAAGAAAGTTGGAAGAAAAAAATGAAAACAAAGATTACCACCAATAAGCAAAAGTTAAAAGTTTTCTTGGAAGGTGTATACAACATCAATGATTAAACAACAACTAGTCACTCACAGTCCCACTCGGTCCATTTAATAATTTATTTATTTATAAATAATGTGATGCTTATTTAGAAATAAGTTAATAAATAATTTAATATGTACTTTTATTAAGAAGAATTGGGGAGGGATATTGGGACCTTTGGTGGTGGAGAATGGGCACTGGTGGAGGGATGGGTATTTGATCACTGTATGATTGAAATCCAAGTGCAAAAATTTGTAAGTCTACAACTGTACCTCATGGTGTTTCACTAATAAAAGTTTAAAAAAATAAATAAAATTGATCCAGCATACAAAAAATTTTAAAAAATAGTTTTAAAATGAAAAAAAGAAAAAAATGGTTTTCCATCTTCATGTATTTTAGTGTCTGATTCCCATAGCGCAAGTGGCTAATTTATTATTAAAGTACATTCAAATTTTCACTTAATACTGTAGCTGTTTCTATTGATGAGAATTTCAGTCTTAATTGGTTAAATACAAAAAACAGCTTCATTGCTATTACCCTTTTCTTTCTAAAACCAAGACATTTTCCAAATGCTCGAGTAAGAAAGGAAGCTTAAAAGTTATCTTGTTTAACCTCCTATAGAACAGATGAAAAAAACTGTATTCTTCTAAGCTTTTGTTTTCAGTGAGTAATTGAGATTTTTTGTTAAGCTCATTTGACTACAGCCCCCCTTCCTTCTAGTCAGACTATCTTTCAGCCAATGGTAGAAAGTAAAAAGAAACTGAAGGGATAGCACATGCCAGAGAAGTATGTAAGGAGCAGGTGTTTCTGGTTATTTAAATATATATATGATAATATAGCCCAGCAAGCTACCTAGAGTATCTCGCCCGCACGGCAAAGCCTGGCAAGCTACCCGTGACATATTGGATATGCCAAACACAGTAACAACAAAGTCTCCAATGGAGACATTATTGGACCCGCTCGAGCAAATCGATGAACAACAGGAGGACAGTGACAGTGACATTATATATAATTTTTTTCTTTGCAGTGCTGAGGATTGAGGGCCTCACACACCACTGAGTCACATCCCTGGCCCTTAATGACATAACTGAAATGCTAGAGTTTAGTCCCAAAAGGACAGACAGCCATCCCTTCAAGGAAACGGCTAAGTCCTCAAAACTGTATATTTTTGAATTCCCAGATACTAGTATAAGAAGTATCAATGCCAGGTATCCACAGGAGAAAATCGCAAAAAAGGGGCGAGAGCCGTAGCACAAAAGGGAGGGCATTAGCCTTGCATACAGCTGACCCTGGTTCAGTGCCCGGCATCCTATTTGGTCCTCCAAGCCTTCAATGATTGATCTGAGTGCAGAGCCAGGAGTAACCCCTAAGCATTGCTGGGTGTGGCCCCCAAACCAAAACCAGAAAAATTAAAAAGAAACAAAATGGCAAAGAGGGCCTAGAAGTCTGAGGCCATGACAGTGTAGTGGCCAAAGGAGCCAGCAGATGAGGGATGCAGAGGAAGAAAAGACTTGTGGTACAGACACTTAGTGATTGGGATTCCACTGGCTGCTACCCAGCCAGAGAAAAGCCGCCTATATGATGCATGTGGTCATCTTGATTCATCCATCAGGATTTTTTTTTTTTTTTGGTATAGGGAAGGCAGTCCCCAAACGGGGCAACAGCTGTTTGGTGACAATTAAACTATTATAAGTGGTTGGTGGTTCTGACAGCAGCTACTTCACCCAAACAGGGAAAGCACCATCATCGACACTACAATGTAAAGGGAATGCTGCCCGGGCATCTGCCAGAGACAAGGAAAGCCCTAAGAGTGGAGGGACCTTGCATCCAAGAATGTCCCTGAACTCTTATTCTGGACCGCAGTGCCCTCAGGGGGCTCCCCACCCACCAGGCTAACGTGGAACCCAAGGGACACAGTAGGATGTACTTCCATGCCATACCTCCTGCAAGACAGCGCTCTTCTCCAGATGCCGAAAGGGATTGGAGCCACTACCTACATTGCAAAACAGAAATGTCTTTAATCGTTGTCCTACACACACACACACACACACCGCCTTTCGAGGGACCAGGGTACTGAACGTGGCGTCAGTCTCACGCGAGGAAGGGAGCACCATGCACACCAGCGATCACCATTGCACAGGAATTGCATCAGGTCATTGAAAGCGAGTCTGGTCTTTGCCATCTATCCCCGGCGATCTTGAAATTCGGTTGCTGTAGGAACCCTGCCCTCTTTATTTATTTATTTTTACCTGCATACCAACACGTGATTAAGTGATTAAGTGATTACCTGCATACCAACACGTGGAGGTACAACTGAATGGGAATGTGGCAGCCCCCTTTGGGTTTCCAACGTAAGGCGGGCCCTGTTTCATTGTGTTTCCTGTAATTTCCTAAGATTCACAGAAGGACCCTGAAAAGCTGAAAATTCAGGGCCGGGGAGGTGTGCTAAGCCAACCTTCTACCATCACCCCTTTGGGAGAGCAGTTCTCAAGTCCTGAGTTTGTGTTGCGTTGTTCTTTTGGAAAGGTGGGGTGGCATTTTTCACCCCCTCCCCCATCCCTCTTTACTCAAGGCCAAAGATGGTCCCCAAGCCCCAGCCTCGTTGGGTACCTGGAGCATCAGACGCGCTGGCTTCCTTTCAGTTTATGCCCCTCCCCCTCCCCTGCCCACAGCTGGGGGAGGGGGAGGCGAACAAAAGCTCCCACCCCCCAGTTAGACGGTCAAGTCCCCTTAAAGTGGGCACACGCACACACGCACACACCCACACACCCCCCTCTCGACGCCCCGTGCACCGTCGGGACCCACGCCAACAGGACCCCCAGCCTGGCACGCGCGCGCCCCTCCTTCTGGGCGGCCAGCCCACCCGGGCGAGCCGGCTCCGCCGGGCTGCGGCGGGGAGCGCGGAGGGGGCGGGGGGCGCGCGAGACCCGAGGGGAGGCTCCAGCGCCCGGGGGAGGGGCTAGGGGCAGGCTCCGGGGCGGGAGGAAAAAACGGGGGTGGGGTGGGGGGCGAGGCGGAGAGAGGGGCTGGGCTCCAGCCTCCAAGCACGCGGGCGCCCACGCCCCCAAGTCCGCAGTCCCCTGGAGCAGGCGGCGGCGGGCGAGGGCCAGGGTTTCCCCCAACGGCGGCTGAGGGGTGGGGGGCGTCGGGAGCCCAGCGCGTACCAGACTCCTCGTCCTTCTTGTCGAATTTTTTAATCATCTTGGAAGACTTCCCAGCGCCCAGACCCACCGCAACCGTCCCAGGCGCCGCAGCCGGCGAGCGGAAGAGGCTGCAGGAAGGCCGGCCCCGGGCTCCGGCGCGGGTTGGGCCTCCCGCCCGTCACTCGGGCAGAAGGCCCGCCCTCCCCGGCCGCCGCGGCCTCTCCGGCCCCTGGGGGGCGAGGCCACGCCCCCTTCCCGCCCCGCCCCCTCCCGGCGGGGACGGAGGCGGGGCCCGAGCCGCGCCCCCGGGAGCCGCGGTCCCGCCCCTGCGGCGACTGAAGCGCGCTCCGGGGCTCGCTCTCCTGCCCACCCGGCCCGCCAGCCCCGTCCCCGCCGAGAGCAAGGTCCGGAGCAGGCGAAGTGTCCTTTTTATTTCATCAGCACGCCCTCCGTGGCGGTTTCCACCGGCCTAGCCGACTCTGGGTGCCTCACGGGGGCTGGTCATTTAACGATCCACTGCTGGACCCTTCCGTTGCGAAAGGCCCTCTCCCCGAGCGCGGCCTTGATGGGCAACGCCCTCTGGAGCTCTGAAAGCGTTAGTGGTTCCCAGCGCATCCGGCTGGTCGACTTCTCCTTCCTTGGCATCGTGGGACCTGCCGGGAAGCACAGGGCACCTTGGTGAATGTGCAATTTCCAGACGATGACTTTAATGTGAGGCGCGGGAAAGAGACCCAAGGGGATGGATGTATCGCCCAGGAAGTTGGTCTTTTTATTTAGTTCAAGAATAGCTTTGGGATCACGGGAACGTGAAACTACCATTCATTCCCCGTTTCTCTTTTTTTTTTTTTTTTGGTTCTTTTTTTTTTTTTTTTTGGTTCTTTTTTTTTTTTTTTTAGTTATTTTGGTAAAAGGATAGATTTTGATCATGATCTTTTTCTTTCTTGAAAAGCCAATGTTAAGAAACAGAACTAGTTCAGGGTCCTCATTTTAATGCCACGTCTTTTAATGATTCCCTGTGTAACCAAATTGATAACTAACTGATGAAATTAAAACGCATTTATCTGTGTAGGCGCCACTCTTAGCTTTTTCTTAAAGAGCATATTTATTGGCTTTCAGACCCCCGGTTTTCACATGTAACTTAGAAGCTGTGTGTGTTTGGGGGCTCGGAGGGTTTCACCTGGAGATGCCCAGGGGATACTCCTGGTTTGCACTCAGGAGGGACCATATGGGATGCTAGTGATCAAATCCAGGTCGATGGAGTACAAGACAAACACCCTACTCACTATAAGTTGCTCAGCCCCCTTAAGCAGCTATTTGTACCTTTGGCTTTAAGTCATCACTGTCAAAAATATGTGGATCCAAGCTTTCTTGCTGCCTTGCTTTTTTGTTTGTTTTGGAACAAGCCAGCAGTGCTCAGGGCTTTCTCCTGACTTGGGGCTAAGGAACCACTCTTGAAGGGCTTGAGGGACCCTATGTAGTGTGGGAATGGACCCTGGATTGCCCATGTGTGAGGCAAGCACTCCATCCACTGTACTATAGCTCCAGCCCTTTCTCACTTTCTTGTGGCATTAAGCCATATACACATCCTCTGAATCTCGTTCTTTGTTCCTACCACCATCACCTGAGTTGCGGTCCTGTCATCTGTCTCTTGTAATATTCATAAGAAACCAAATTAGCCGCCAACTAAACTAACCTATAATCTTTATTTGTCCACCTTGTAAACATGGAACATTAATGGCAGAAGGAGTTCCTAAAAGTCTTTTGCTTTAAAGTGGCATTGTGTCTCTTTTATAACAGATTGTTTTTACTTAGGAAAAGCATCATGATGGCCCCTTAATTTATTTATTTAGGGAGGGCACCCAGGAGTGCTTAGGGCTTACTCCTGGCAGTGTTTGGGTGGGTGGGTGGGGACTATGTGGTGTGAGAAAGGAAATCTGAGATGATCACCTCCCTGGCAAGTGCCTTATCCTCTGTACTATCTTTCCCACCCCTGGGCCCTTTACATAATTAGTGGAGCAAGTATGCTGTCATTTTTCTTGAAGGAAGTTCTAAAACCACCATACATCTAATGACTGCTGCAAACCTAGGTATTAAATGTTAAGTTTAGAAAGGTGAATTGCATGTATCTTTGATAGAATTGTGTTCTTGAAAATTTAGAGAAATTGTATTCTAGATTAGATTCTAGATTCTTCAGAAATTCTTTCTCCCTTTAAGCATTTACATGTGGGATCATTTTGGACAAAACTCCAACTTTATTAAATGCATTATTAACTATTGTGTTTGCCTTATCTAGCTTACAGAGTTCACACCTTACTTTCCAGGTAAAGTTTCCCTAGGAAGAAACAGAAATTCTCATTTATTCTGGAGCTGAAAATGAACAGGCTCTGGGAAAAGAACATCCCTAACTCTTCCCCTTCTTTGGGGCAGGGGTATTGGAAGCCCCCACCCAGGTAGTTCCCAGGAATGGTTAGTTTGCGGGATACTGCACATTGGCAGGCTTGGAGGAACTGAAGGTGAGTTTGAAGTTTGGTCTTTAGGGTCTTATTTTTAAATGGCTTTCTACCATTTTAAAAAAAATGGTTCTTAATGGCTATGAAGATGTGCTTTACATTTTGGTTTTAATTGTCTGTGGAGAGTGATGCAGGGAAGTAGGTAGGTTAGGGTTAGGGTATCCAAAAGGTATAGGAGGAACCAGAAGCCTGAAGAAGCCAGTTAAGGAATAATAGGGCCTCCTTGCTGTGCCTTGTAACTGAGCTGCCACTGGCTGGCAGAACTATTAAGTAATCATTAGAATGGCCCTGTAGAGCAGGTAAGCAAACCTCAGGAAGATTCCAAAATTGCTTGAGCATGGATACACCAGAGAAGAAATGAACCTTATCTTGGGTCTATGAACCAGGGAGGTCTAGGGACTCTGGCATTACACTCTGAATACGAATACACAAAGGTATAGCCAGTGCTCTAAAATCCTTCAGTGTGTCCCAAACATCAGTGGGATAAAACTCAAATCCTTATTTGCATAATTTAGAAAATCCTTTGAGATTTCCTCCAACCATCATCCACAATGAAAGTACTATTGTCTGTTAGAAAAGATGAAGTCATGAAATTTACATACAAGTGGTACTACATGGAAAGTATCATGCTAAGCGAAATGAGTCAGAAAGAGAGGGATAGACATAAAAAGATTGCATTCATCTGGGGGATATAAAGTAACAAAATAGGAGATTAATACCCAAGAATAGCCGAGATCAGTACCAGGAGGATTACTCCATAGCTTAGAGACCAGCCGGGCATTATAGGGGAAAGGGCAGCTCAGATAGAGAAGGGAGCACCAAATAAAGGGTGTTTGGAGGATGCTCCCAGGAGGGGAGATGCATATTGAAAGTAGACTATGGACTGAACATGATTGTCACTCAATGTGCCTCTTTTGCAGACCACAACACCCAAAAGGAGAGAGAGAACAAAAGGGAATGCCCTGCCACAGAGGCAGGGTGGGATGGTGGGGGGGATGAGTGTGGGAGGGATACTGGGATCCATGGTGGTGGAAAGTGGGCACTGGTGGAGGGATGGGTATTTGATCATTGTATGGTCGAAACCCAAGCACAAAAATTTGTAAATCTACAACTGGTGTTTCACTAATAAAATTTTTTTTAAAAAGTGCTATTGTGCTGAAGAGTCCAACACTTCATAGGCTCCTCAAAAACGTGGTTAACACTAAGTAAATGATGGTTAGAGGGGTTCGCTCGGGATGGTAGATGCATAATGAAAGTAGACTATTGACCAAATATGATGACTGCTTAGTGCATATATTGCATTCTATAACACCCAAAAGGAGAGAGAGAAAGAGGGAAGGTGTCTGCCACAGAGGCAAAGGGTGGGAAGGGGTGAGGGTGGTGGGAGGGACACTGGGAACATTGGTGGTGGAGAATGGGCACTGGTGGAGGGATGGATACTTGAACATTGTTTGAAATATAATAAAAAATGTGTAGGTCTGTAAAAAAATAAATATTAAAAAAAAAGCAAACGTGGTTAACAGACTATTTTGTGAGGGGCAAACTTGTTGTACTGTCTTCCATAAAGCCTTATCCCAAACCCCTTTTACTCTCTAAAAAGACTCAAGATCTTACAGGATGAGAACACACAGGACTTACGAAGGACTTATCATCCTTCGGTCATTCCACTTCTTTAAAGTGGAAGAAGCTTCCTAATGGTCAGTTTTAGGTAACAAACATTTTTAATGGAAGTACTATGAATCTGATAACATGGCAGGGAGAAAAAAAACATAATTTTATACTTAACCCCTGGTATCAACAAAATCACTAAGAATTTAATATGACAAATAGGACATCAACATGAAAAAAATATTAAAGTAGTCACTGTCACTGGCACTGTCCTCACGTTGTTCATTGATTTGCTTGAGCAGGCCCAGGAATGTCTCCATCGTGAGACTTATTGTTATTGTGTTTGGCATATCGAATATGTCACAGGTAGCTTGCCAGGCTTTGCCATGCAGGCAAGATACTCTCGATAGCTTGCTGGGCTCTCCAAGAGGGGCAGAGGAATCGAAGCCGGGTCGGCCTTATCAGCCACATTCAAGGCAAATGCCCTACCTGCTGTGCTATCATAGTAGGTCATATAATTTGGAAACAATATGCCAGAACTTTCTTGAAGCCTGAGGATGTAAACAGGGGCCAAAGCCTAGCATTACTTGGGCCTCTCAGTTTTTGGTGTCTCGGGGGAGGTGGTTTGGGGCCACATTTGGAGAAGCTCAGGGTCTACTGGCTCTGTGCTGAGAGGGTCATTTCTGGTAGTGCTCAGAAAACCATTATGTGGTGCTGGGGATTGAACAAGACTCAGCTTCATGTAAGACAAACACAACACCTTAATCCCTCTACTCTCTCTCCAGTCTGCTATCAGTTTTAAGTTTAATGCTACAAGGGGAAATGTTCTTTAGAACCATGAGAGAAATATTGATTGCTCTCATCTCTCATCCCCTCCTTCCCGCCTCTTAGTTCTGTTAGCCATCCCCTTAAAGGAACTTACCATCCTTCTTCATATCTCTGGTGTAGACTGGAGAAAAGTTAAGCTGTGGGTACATACGTTTCTGTTTCCTCAAAGCATACAGCTTTGAATATTTCCCTTCACTCTTGAAATCTTTGCTTGTGGAAAACCTTAAAAAAAAAGTTCTTTTAGTGGGTTCTAGACCATGGGGGTTTAGCGGAAATAGCCACTGAACAGTCATCAGTACCCAGATCCTCGGGGGAGAAGAAAGGACAATTACTAGAGGATGTCCACCAGCAGAGTGAGAATACTACTTAGTGGCAAAAGAGACTTTTAGAACTAAATACCGTAAACTTCCAAAGGAATTCTAGAATCTCCTCTCCAAACTAGACACAGGCTACTGTGATAACGAGTGTCTGAGTAAATCTCAGCATCTTGTGCCCATGCCACAATCCTTAAAAGCACTGGAGAATTTGTTTCTTCAAAGCGTAGACCTTCAGAATCTCCTCTTTGCTCTTGAGAATCACTGGCTGTGAAAAACGTTAGTTTCCTATCACTGTTTCATTAGGGCGTAAGTGAGGCTGGGAATCAGATAAGGAATCTGTAGTAATAATCTTACAGGTGACTTTCCCTGCTACCAAATCATACTGAAAAGAGAAAATAAGGTGAATCAGGAAAAGAGAGGAAGGAAAAGAAGTACAAGAGTCACCACTTCACCTAAACCATTGCTCCAGGTTGGGGTCCTCCAGCAGTGTCAATGGGAAAGGAGATTTCAGTCTAGATCTTAATTGTTTTTTTGAGGGCATCGGGGGTAAGCAGATACGTTCAGGGCCTTCGGGGTGTTCAATTTTCTGCAACAGAGGAAAGAAGAGTTCATCAAAGTACACTGAAGTCACTTGGGATTTAAAAGCTGGACAACGTTGCTCAACTAAGTTCCAATTACCCTAATTTGATGCCCCAAACCTGTCAGAGGCTTAAAGAAAAGAACACAGTTCCCTGAGAGGGCTAACATCTAGTTAGTTCTTTGCCCCCTTGGGTGATTAGTTCCCTAATTGACTAAACTTGTTCAGTGGACCTTTTGAGTGAATTGCAAAGGAATTTATCCAGTTTCAAGATGGTGCATTTCATCTTTGAATTGCCTAGGAAACCAAATATGTGATGATAAATAAATTTAGAAATAGGTCCCTAGGACTCTACCTTCCATCCTTATTAAACTGTCTGGAGTCAAAAATCCACAAAATGGAATGCTTTGTGAGGTAATAATCACATAAGTGAATGAGACCAGTTGTAGTTACATCAAGATCCTCCGTGAGCTGTATTGCGGATTCACTACCAGGATCTCACCATTCTACAAAGAAGTGATCATTGATGTCAAGAGAGGGGTTCAGCAGGGTGATACCATTTCACCGAAACTCTTCAGTGCCACCCTCGAGAACATCATGCGACGACTGGAATGGGAAGAGTGAAGATAGATGGTCGGCAATTACACCACCTCCACTTTGCTGATGACATTATTTTAATAACACCAAACATCAGCCAAGCAGCACAAATGCTGGCCGACTTTGACCGTGAGTGTGGAAAGGTAGGACTACAGCTGAATCTTACGAAGACAATACTCATGAGAAACAGCCTCGTTCCTGATGCCCCATTCGCCCTCAACGGAACGACCATCTCCGAATGCAACAGCTATGTGTACCTAGGTCGAGAGGTCAACATGACAAATGACCTGGCACCCGAGCTGCGCAGGAGGAAGAGAGCGGCTTGGAACGCCTTCAAGAACATCGAAGAAATAGCTAAGAGGACGAAGAACCTCCGGCTCCAGGCACATCTCTTTGATTCCACTGTTCTTCCTGCATTAACATATGCCTCAGAGACCTGGGCCCTACGCGAACAGGATGAGAACGCTATTCAGGTCTCCCAAAGAAGAATAGAAAGAGCTATGCTTGGAATATCACGTTTCACTCAAATGAGAGAAAAAATCCGGAGTTCCAACATCCGTCGACGATCAAGAATCAGGGACGACTGGCCGAGCAAGTGAAAACAGAGATAGATAAATGGGACTATCTTAAACTAAGAAGCTTCTGTACCTCCAAAGAAACAGTGACCAAAATACAAAGACAGTCTACAGAATGGGAAAGGATATTCACCGAATAAACATCTGACAAGGGGTTGATATCCAAGATATACAAAATACTGGTTAAACTCCACAAGAAGAAAACATCCAACCCCATCCAAAAATGGGGCAATGAAATGAACAGAAACTTTCTCAAAGAAGAAATCCGAATGGCAAAAATGCACATGAGAAAATGCTCTACATCATTAATCATCAGGGAGATGCAGATCAAAACTACAATGAGATACCATCTCACACCTCAGAGACTGGCCCACATTCAAAAGAACAAAAGCAACCGATGCTGGCGTGGATGTGGCGAGAAAGGGACACTCCTTCACTGTTGGTGGGAATGTCCACTGGTTCAGCCCTTCTGGAAAACAGTATGGACGATTCTCAAAAAATTAGAAATTGAGCTCCCATTTGACCCAGCAATACCACTCCTGGGAATATATCCCAGAGAGGCAAAAATGTATAGTCGAAGTGACATCTGCACTTGTTTGTTCATTGCAGCACTCTTTACAATAGCCAGAAACTGGAAGAAACCTGAATGCCCAAGAACAGATGACTGGTTAAAGAAACTTTGGTACATCTACACAATGGAGTACTATGTAGCTGTTAGAAAAGATGAAGTCATGAAATTTACATACAAGTGGTACAATATGGAAAGTATCATGCTAAGTGAAATGAGTCAGAAAGAGAGGGATAGACATAGAAAGATTGCATTCATCTGGGGGATATAAAGTAACAAAGTATGAGATTAATACCCAAGAATAGCTGAGATCAGCACCAGGAGGATTACTCCATAACTTAGAGGCCAGCCGGGTATCCTAGAGGAAAGGGCAGTTCAGATAGAGAAGGGAGCACCAAATAAAGGATGTTTGGAGGATCCTCCCAGGAGGGGAGATGCATGTCGATAGTAGACTATGGACTGAACATGTTTGCCACTCAATGCCTCTTTTGCAGACCACAACACCCCAAAGGAGAGAGAGAACACAGGGGATTGCCCTGCCACAGAGACAGGGGGGATGGGGGGATGGGGGTGGGAGGGATATTATCCATGGTGGTGGAAAATGGGCACTGGTGGAGGGATGGGTATCTGATCATTGTATAATTGAAACCAAAGCACAAAAAATTGTAAATCTACAACTGTAAAAAAAAATAAAATAAAATAAAATAAAGGGGAAAAAAAAAAGAATCAGGGACGCTGTCTCATTTGCCAAGGTGTCAAAAATCAGATGGGCTGGTCACGTAATGAGATTTAAAGACGACTGCTGGACTAGAGCTGCTACTGACTGGATTCCATGGGATGTCAAAAGACCGCGTGGCCGCCCACCTACCAGATGGTCAGACTTCTTCGTGAAGATCATGAACGATCGGTTTGAGGCTCTTCATGTTCCCAGAGCGAACAGATGCCATTGGGCTATACTAGCACGCGACAGGGAACAAATGGAGACGTTACTGGCGCCCGCTCGAGCAAATCGACGACTAACGGGAAGTTAAGTGATTAAGTGAATCACATAAGTACAAAAGATTATAGAACCAGAGATTTTCAGAAAGGTTCTTAAAGATCATTCACAATGTTACCCTCATAACTGTCCACTGGTAGCACCACTGGTAGCACTGTCCTCCCATTCTTCATCGATTTGCTTGAGCAGGCCCAGTAACGTCTCTATTGTGAGACTTCTTGTTACTGTGTTTGGCATATTGAATATGTCACGGGTAGCTTGCCAGGCTTTGCCATGCAGACGAGATACTCTCGGTAGCTTGCCAGGCTCTCCGAGAGGGGTGGAGTAATCGAACCCGAGTCGGCTGGGCCGGCCGCATGCAAGGCCAACACCCTACCGCTATGCTTCAGCCCTTTTCCTGCCATCCACTTACTCTCAGCCCACCCTCATAATATCCTATCAAATACTCAATTGTCCTATACCTAAAAACCCTAAGCTTTTTCATCTTGGATCAGCTGAAAACTACTTCACTACAATTTCTAAGTCCAAACTGTGATCCAATCCAGTGGATCTCCACAGAATCTATTTGGAATGTGATAACTGTCTCATTCTTCTTAAACTTACGCTCTTCCAGGATCAAACACTTTGAGCATTTAATCATATAGTATGATCTTGGTTTCCCAGTTCCCCCTGATTTATCTCATGGAACTCTTTCTCACATGAGAAAGTTACAATTTATATTTTTCCCAATGCATTGAAAGCAAAATATGTTAGATGCAGCAACTGCATAATACTTCCCATTCCATTGTCTATTTAAATAGCAGCACCTTTTGATGCTATTTAACAAACTACACTATTAAAAATCACTACATATACACATTATCTGCCAGCCCCAGTTTTCTTTGTCAGGGACCTTGTCACATTATGTATTATCTATATGATCTCACATGGCAGAGCCTGGTAAACTACCCGTGGCATACTCGATATGCCAAAAACAGTATCAATGATGATCCTCATTCCCCTGACTCTGTGTGACAGGGATGAATGGAGACATTATTGGCGCCTACTCGAGCAAATCGATGAACAACAGGGTGATAGTGATAGTGATGTGATCATTTACTAGGTATCTGTTTGCCTCTCTAGAGTTAAACCAAAGATTCTGATTTTTTAAAAAAAGGTCAGAGCAATAGTACAGTGGACAGGATGCTTGTCTTGTACACAGCTGACCCAGATTCAGTCACCAGGCACCACATATGATGAGTCTCCTGGGCCCGCCAGGAGAGATCTCTGACTATAGAGACAGGAGGAAGTCCTGAGTACAGCCAAGTCTGGCCTAAAAACCAAACAAACAATGACAAACAAACAAAAAAGGGACTTTGATTTAGTCACTGATATATTACTGGCGCCATGTAATCCCATCAACGGCCAAGACTCAGAGACTATAAAAACCAGCTCCCGGAAGAGAAGAGTGCAGTCTTCTGCCCCCGTGCCTGACTGTCCTCGCTCGCCAGAACCCCTTGGAGGGGAACGGGTTGAGCTTTCCTCCCCGCCCCCACCAGGGCTCCAGCAGCCAATGACCTCCAGCACCAGCCACCACCATGCTGAGACCACTCTCCGCACACATGAAGGTACTGGCAGAGGGACAAAGCCACGCGGGTTCCGGGGCCAAGATCTCCAAGCCTACTCGGATTGGGGCCGAGCATCCTCCACCCAGATTCTCCAAACTCCAGTAGGCGGGGGTCACACCCACCAACTGGCCCCCTGGCGCCGTGTAATCCCATCAGCGGCCAAGACTCAGGGACTATAAAAACCAGCTCACAGAACTGCGCGGCCGCGACATCTTATCTTATTATGACATTTTATTATCTCGTTACTACTTTGGACAAACTGGCAGGTTACCGAATATAGCCTGCCCACAGGGCAGAGTCTGGCAAACTCCCCTTGGCGTACCCAATATGCCAAATACCAGTAACAATGATGGGTCTCATTCTCCTAAAGAGCCTTGAATATAATCTCAGGGCTAGGATGAAGGAGACGTTACTGGGGCCTGCTCGAGGCAATTGACGAATAACAGGATGATTTGTGATTTTGTGATATTACAGTGCCAATCTTTGACAACCTTTACTCTACTAATTGGGCTGTTACCACAATTTGCTTATGGATATAAGACCTGGAGTCAAAAATCCACAAAATGGAATGTTTTGTGGGATAATAATCACATAAGTACCAAAGATCATAAAATCAGAGATTTCCAGAAAGCTTCTTAAAGGTCAATCACAATGTTACTCTCATAACATTCCTAGCAGATATTCCCTATGATCTGGAAAGTTCATGAAGAGGCAGCTGTTGGAAGAAAGCTCTTCTGAAAGAAGATTACACGATATTCTTCTATTTCCTTCTCTCTCTTGAGCAGGACAATACTAGTCTGGCACGTGCCCCTTCAGCATACATCACCCGCACCTCAACAAAACACCCCTGATGTTCACACTCAAGACAAATTCCAACAGACCACAGACAACAAATCAATTAATCTTTTCTTCAGCATATACTACTGGCTAGTAGCATTTTTTAAATTTTCCATTTGGGAGGATCCTGTCAACCATCAAGCACTAAAGAAATACTAATTCCAAATTCACGTCTTTTTAGTCTATGGATCTGTGTTGGGACTATTTCATAACCAGGATTAAATTTCTATCATAAGTAGGCACTGTAGCACTGTCCTCCCACTGTTCATCGATTTGCTCAAGCGGGCACCAGTATCGTCTCCATTGTAAGACTTGTTGTTACTGTTTTTGGCATATCGAATACATCACAGGTAGCTTGCCAGGCTTTGTCGTGTGGGCAGGATACTCTCGGTAGCTTGCTGGGTGCTCCAAGAGGGGTGGAGGAATCGAACCTGGGTTGGCCACATGCAAGGCAAATGCCCTATCCACTGTGCTATCATTCCAGCCCATCATAAGTAGATACATTAGTTTATACCTTCACTTAGAGATAAATCTTACTATGTCAATCCATCTCTCAAGGTTGTCAAGATCTTTTTAAGATCCTGATTCTCAATATCTCTGAAATGGTAGTCTTTACTTCCTCTGCCAATTATTTAGTTCAATTCCTCAGAATCTCATCTTAACTCTTTTAGTAATATTATAACTATTTTTTCTGATTTTTTTTTGTCTCACAATTAATGCATATTTTTCTCCTAACCTCCAAAAATGCTTTCTCTCCTGCTCCCCCGCCCCCCCCCCCACTTGTATGTGCTAGAGATTGACCCCATGACTTCACATATGCAAGGCAAGTGGTCTACTACTGATCCCCAACTCCCTGCCTACTTGTTTGTTTTGTTTTGTTTTGGGGGGGGGGCTCACCTGGTGGTACTCAGGAGCTACTCCTGGCTCTGTACTCAGTAATCACTCCTGGTGGTGTTCAGGGAACCATGTGGGATGCCAGGGATCAAACCCAGACCGACTGTGTGCAAGGCAAGGCCCTCCCTGCTTTACTATGGCTCTGGCTCCCCGCTACTTACTCTTTTACCTTTCTCTCATGGACCTTATATCTCACCTGTTCAGGTCTTTGGCGTCATCCTCAGTTGTAATACACTCACACTTCTTGCTTCAGAGTCACCTCTTCTACAGGGATTTCCTATTTACTTTCATTTCACCAAGAGAAAATTTTACCTACTGAATACCAGTTCTACATTCTGTGAATTCTCTTTATTCACATATCCTGATATAATTACTTTTACACATCTCATTTACTGATGTGTCTCTCTCATTAGATTCCAAGTTCCTTGAAGGTAGAAACTATCTTGCAATCAGTCATCTTTATATTTCAGTCCCTAGCTAAGTTCTTGTTGAGCAATTCTTTGCGGAATTGAACTTCCTGAGGGTACAAAAGACTGTCATGGCAGTGAATTATCTCCTCCGTCCCACTTCCCTTCTCCCGGCAAAAGCAATGTGTGCAAAATGTTAACTCTTCACTCCTTTCCCATTTATTCATTTCTTTTTCTTAGGTCCTCATTTTCTGACTTACCCTTTACTGACTTAATTTTCTATGGTGCCAGGAATGGATCCCAGGGACACACACATGCAAGGTAAATACTCTACTGCTAACCCACACCCCAGATTCCTTTATTAATTTATACTCCACTATAAAGCCCATGGTACTTTAGCTTTCATTAATAACAAATTATCTTTGCCCCCAAAGGAACCATTTATAATCAAGGCCCCCTTTTCTTTGTGCAATGAAATTCTGGGACATTTAATTCAATGTTGCCTTTGGACAACTCTGGTTCTGAGTATTTCCAAGGAACTCCAGATTCTGTTTTATGAAATATATAGCAAAGAATGACATGTTGGCTCCTGAAAGTCATCCTCCATGTTCTGTTAGCACCATTCTTCGAGCTGACTCCTAGTTCTTCTAGTTCCTTACCTGGGATGCCGGGACACTTCCCCAGGTGCCTTACCTGGAGCAGAAACTCCTTGGAAAAGTATTTGGGTGCCCTGTCCTCTTCTTGTTGATTAAAGGGACAGGGAAGTGGATTGTTGGTCAGAATCAGTAAGGTCTTATCCAGATCATACTCTGCTACTTTTAACAAGAAGCTTTGGATTTTCTTGTGTTGATATAGGTATTTCTGCAGTGCCGTGGGCTTCAAAGGCTCATAGTAGCGGGCCTGAGCAGACAAAAAAGTTTCCAGAGAGACAAAGGGATAAGATCAAGAGAAGACAAAGACATCAGTTGGTTCATCTTTCACCTCCAGAGGGCAGGGAGAGGGACTGGGCAGGAGCCAGACACATCTGCTCTGAAATTTGTTTCACAGAAAATGGTGGAAGCTGTCTGTGCCTTCTCTCCTTAGCAAGTAGACCGGCACTTACACCAGAGGTACCAGGCATTTATTTGGCTTACCACCCCCTTCTCAGAAAAAAAAAATCAGGGCCCAGCTGGAAATCTAGCTTCTTTACAGAAACAAACAGAACCTCTCCCCCATTCCACCCCAAGTTACAATGGACTGACCAGCACAACCCCCCACCCCCACTACCACATCCCCTTGCCCCAGGATCACTCCGCTTTGGTAAATAGTGAAATACAAGGAGCTAGACTTGGAAAGACCAAAAAAAAAATTTTTTTTCAAAAAAAAAAAAAAGAAAACGAAACGAAATGAGCTGGAGAGCTTTCCACAATCAAAGGAAGATGACTTTGGTCTTTAGAGAAAAGCTGACATAAAGCTCAACATAGTGGGCACCAAGAGAAGTCTCTGCTTGAAGGCTTCCTCTGTGCCTCAAGGAGGGGCAGCCGGGAGGAACAGCCAGACACCCCATCTCCTGGCTTCTTGGGTGTCTGAGGGGACTTTATCCCAGGACTTCTCAACCACAGATCTAGGCACATGACTCTGCAGAATCAAGCCCAGTGCTCAGAAGGCAGCGTGCCAACTGAGGTGTGGATGGGAGAAGGCACGGCCCCCTCACGAAACTGGTCTTTCTGTTAAAGGAAGAAGGCAGAAGATTGGGGAGGGCAGGCATCAGATGCTTGTGGATGTGAGTAGCAGGGATCTAGCTCCCCACTCCTCCTTCAGTTCCTCCATTCCCAGCCTGGTGTCCCGGGACAGTACTGCCTCTGTCCTAGGAGCATATGCAGTTACATAAGCTGGGTGGTGGCGCTTGGAGGCTGCTGGAATCCTCTAAGGTGAGTTGCTGCCTGGTCCGCTGAAACTGGCCGGTGCGGATCTTGTGGGGATTGTTTTTTCCACTTACCAAGTTTGGATGGACTGTGTAATAGCGAAGGTTCTTAAGAACAAATTTCGATTGTCTATACATGTCAGAGACCTAGAGACAATTAATTCAAATTAGTGTTCAAATTGCGTTTGTAAAATGAAAGTATTCCATCTTTCCCCATAACCTGACAAATGGGTATCTGATTCAAGTTAAGGACTAAGTTGGGAGAAAACACTGGGCTCCACATCTCCTTTGGGAGTCTCTTGCCACAAGGAGAGCTCATTTCCGAAGCATCCTGACACAGAAGTTGGTTCCCAGAAATGGGAACCACCTTTGTGAAATACCAAGCCAAGCAGTTTCGTTAGGAGGGGACTCAGGGGCAATGGCCAAGTTTATTGGGCGATTAGTTACTCCGAGGACTCCTGCCTTTTCCTCTGCCTTTTTAGTTTCTGGCAGAGTGGAGGCAAGGGAAAATCAACAAGGAGGGGGACAACCTGAAGGAGAAAGGAAATACCAAGGGGTGATGCTCTAAAGGGTGCAAATAGAAGCCCTGCGGATCACGGCCACCTAAGCAGAATGCAGCAGACATGTTTGCAGAGGAATGGCATGGCATTGTGCATTTTGTCAATAATCTGAAATCTTAGATTCTTCCAGAGATGTAATACATACATGAAGGATAACATTGGTTTGTCCTTTCTGCCTCGGTACAAGGAGTTTAGGTTTGTTGGGTTACTCCCATCACAGTGCTCCCACTCCTTTGTGTTTATTTGTAACTTCTTTCTTTATGTTCTGTTGACTTGTAAATATTGTTTTTCTCTTCTCCTTAAGTCTTTTGCATAGTTAATTCTGAGCAATGTCCTTTTTGTATGGACACAAGAAAACAGTTACTGCTATGCTTTTGTAATTTGGGAGTCAACTGACTCTGAATGATATCTACCTCCTAGACATCTGTTCTCTCAACCCAAGCCTCAGTTGCCATTACTTCCTATCACCCCCAGAGAGGGTTCCTACGAGGGACTGGATGGACCCAGGACAAGTGGTGAGGTATGTGTTACCCTGGTCAAAGTACCATAGTGCTTAACTATAAGTTAGGAGCTGGGTGATGGACAAATGCTGTCATGATCCAAAAAGCAATAACTAGATTCGGACCCTGCTGGGGTTTGGAATGATTAATTCGTCCAGAGCACTGTAGTCTCCTACAAGCTCAATGTATCTCTTACTGTGCTCATACAAAATAATATTAAGAAGCAGAATCAAGATGTTAATTAAGTTATTGAACTAAGAAGAGAAACCGGCCTGCCCCTAGGTGGTGTTTCCTAGGTGGTGTTTTGGCCCTTGAACCCGATGGGCGGTCAGGAAGGCCTTTCTTATGTTAACTTTGCTACCTGACTGGGTGTAGCATTTTTTAGTCCCAGACAAAGGGGGTTGGAGAGATAAGAGAGAGAGCAGGGCAGCAAGTTGGAGCACAGAGAGTCTAGCAAGGGGCACAGAGAGAGAAGAATGTAGAAGAATAATACAGGAGCAGGCATATGGAGAGAGAGAAAGAGAGAGAGAGAAAGAGAGAAGAGAGAGAGAGAGAGAGAGAGAGAGAGAGAGAGAGAGAGAGAGAGAGAGAGCCTAGGCTGCAAGATGGAGTGTGGAGAGATGAGACAGGAGGAGTCAGGAATGAGGGGCAGTGTGAAACTACATTGGGGGGCTTAGAGAGACTGGAACAGGTGCGTGGGGAGAATGGAATAAATGGCAACTGATCAATCAACCAGCTTGGCCATTGTTTCCTCTGCCGTCTGCCCCATGGCACAGGACACCCTGGCTGGGTATGGGCCCAAGACTACTGAACCTGGGGGGCAAGGGGGAGAGCCGCCTGGAGATTATACACGCACACACTTGAATTTGGACCACACTAACATTTCTTAATCTATTTTTTAAATGTATCACCATGAGATACACAGCTACAAAGTTGTTCATGATTGGAGTTTCAGTCATACAATGCTTCCTTCACCATTCCTTTACCAGTGTACATTTCCTACCACCAGTGTCCCCAGTTTCACTCCTGCCCTCTCCCCTCCCTGACCCACCTCTATGGCAGACACTTTCTCTCTCTCTCTCTCTCTCTCTCTCTCTCTCTCTCTCTCTCTCTCCCCTCCTTCCCTCCCTCCCTCTCAGCATCATGGTTTGCAATACAGATACTGAAAGGTTATCATGCATATCCCTTTACCTACTTCCAGCACTCAGTTCTTGTCCAGAATCAATCATGTTCAGAGTGATCAGTTCCAACTATTAGTGTCATACTGGTCCCTTCTCTATCCTAACTGCCCTCTGTCCCCCATACACTTGTGGCAAGCTTCCAACTGTGCTGGTTTTGAACACTAACATTTTGCATTTTTTTCTGTTGGTACTAATTCTGGTCATTGGTGTGTTGCATGGAATGAGTTATCATATGGTAGAGCTGCTGGGTCTCTCTTATCTCCTTTGTTGGCCTCTAACTTGGCCTTAGGCTGTCTAAAGAGAAATCAAAGAGGTAAGGACACAAGGAATTAAAGCTCTGATGCACCTCCCTTGTGCTTCCCATTGTCAGAAACCAGGAAAATAGAAGGAGAGGGATTCAATCCTGTACATTTGTAAAGTCCTCCATGCCTCAAAAAACAACAACAAAAAAAAGGTTCTGAGAGAAAGAGCATGCACTAAAGGGGTGCAAAAAGCAAGAAAGTCAATGAAGAAGGGAAACCTTTTTTTTTAATGTGGGGAGAACTGGTGGACAAGGTATGGGGGACACGCCAGCCAGAACTCAACTACTGGCTCTGCTCTGAAATCACTTCCGACTGTGCTCGAACCATTCATAGGGCTGCAGATCAAACCAGGGTCAGCCACAAGCAAGGTAAGCACCTAAATTCCTGTACTATCTCTTCTGCCCAAGAAGAACATTTTAAGAAACAGAATAATGGATAGAGGAGAGGTATTGTTGAACTCCAGGAGGCAAAGTCAGAACTTGACATTTCCCAGGGGTCTGGGGTGGTGGGTGGGTGGGAAGCAGGAAGGGAATTAAAGTCATGCCATATATTCCTCTAGAGAGGGTAGGATGGAATTTGAGATCAATTTAAAGATGCAGTTATTGAAATGTAAGCACAAAAGATTTTAAGTCTGTAACTGTATCCCATGGTGATTTATCAAAAATAAAAATAAAAAATTTTTTAAAAAGATTCAGTTCTTTTATTACTTTTTGGAAAGCAAAAATTCCTTTGTTCAAAATCAAAATATATTATGACAAACCTAGTTCATAGACATGACACATTTATAATCATAGAAATCTAGAAAAAATTACTTGGGGTGATACATGAAGATTTTTTCCATTATGGACATTTAAGAAATTAATTTCAGGAGGCAAAGTCTCTGGGCAAGTGTTTTTGCTTTTGAATTTTTCTGAAGTATTGCTCCAGTTCCAGGTTAGCTTCCAATAGTTTCCAAATTGGAATGTTTTTAGTTTTCTTATGCTGAATTGTACTATCTCTGGCTTTATAAATAAGAGGTAGGATGGGAAATTCACTTGTGTATGATAAATGTGGGGAAACAACCATAACTTAAAAAGCATCCTGAGAGCAGAAGTTAGGAAAGTCAGGGTTAGCATTCACTTGCACCCTCAGACAGCTTCTGGTTCCCCAATATTTTTTTGCTGATTTGTCTCTGTCTTTTATATAAAGTTAGATAAATCAACCATGTACTACACATAAATCTTGATACCTTTTTGTTTTTCATCAGGAATTTTTGTGAGATCCAGCTTAAAGTGTTCTAAGAAATGTCCAAGAACGTGTAGAAAGGAATATTTACCAATGCCTTTTCTTACCTCATCAGGCTCCACAATCATTGGTAAACTACTGGGAACTCCTGTGACCCTTATCTTGCTATGTTGTTGCCTAAAAAAAGAGACAGAACACCCAATTGTATCTTGTGTGTATTCTCAATCTCCCTCAACAAAGTTTGTTAGACTGACTTGAAAGAGCTGTTTATCTCAGTACCTCAATTAAATGGGCTGAACCAATAGCACAGTGGGTAGGGCATTTGCCTCACATGCGGCCAAACTGGGTTTGATTCCTCCATCCCTCTCGGAGAGCCCAGAAAGCTACCGAGAGTATCCTGCCCGTATGGCAGAGCCTGGCAAGCTCCCCATGGCGTATTTGACATGCCAAAAACAGTAACAACAAGTCTCACAATGGAATCATCACTGGTGGTCGGTTGAGCAACTTGATGGACAACGGGAAGTCAGTGCTACAGTGCTACCTCAATTAAAATGGTTTAAAACAATTTTTTAAGAACTCAGTTTAGGACTGGAAGAATAGCAGAGAGTAGGGTGCTTGCCTTGCACATGGCTAACCCAGGTTCAATCCCCAGCACTACATATGGTCCCCAAGCACCACCAGGAGTGATCTCTGAGAGCAGGGCCAGGAGTAAGCCCTGAACACCACTGGGTGTGACCACAAAACTAAAAAGAACTCAGTTAAGATGGTAACCAAATAAATGCACAAAAGTAGGGGGAAAACTTAATCATCCAGCTTAAATGTTGGTGGGAGGCTAGAGCAGTATGAAGAGTTAAATAGGTAGAACATCTTGGGAGACATGAAGATATCCAATGATATCTTGGTCTGCTAAAATATGGGTCTTGGAAGTGCTCTGTTAGACTACTTTAGGAAACTATTTTGGGAAACTGCACCCTCAAGATATCTTTAAAGATCACTTAGTCTTTTGAATATCAACCTGCCTATTCTTTTCAAAATGGAAATAGTTGTGCCTCACCAATGATTCTGTAAAAGAATCCCTAGCACTTCCTGGTGTGCCTGAAAAAACAAAGAGAAAAGATAGGGTGGCAACTGGAGCATGCAGGAGCCCTTAAGTTCAATTATTGGCACCATGTGATCCCCCAAGCACCAACCACTAGAAGTGACCCCTGAGTACCAATTGGTGGTAGCTCCCCAGAACATCCAGGTGTGGACCCCCCAAAATAAAGGTAATCTAAAATTTTTAAAATGAGGTAGTAAAGACCAAAAGAGGAAAAGTCACACTATGCAGTTGACAGGGGTCATCTAGCTTTATAGAGTGGTACATATAATGCCAGGTGTAGGATCAAATCCCATCTAAGGATGGCTAGTTCCCATCCATTGCTGACTACCAGCTGCACCATTAAGGCAAGTCAAAGGTCTTCAAAATAGTTTCAAAAAAATTCATCCCAACTTAATATCTCAAATTGGCACCATTTTGATGCCTTGGAGCCTTAAGGTACCTACTAATATATTATAATCTTCACTTAGCACTTTTCATGAAAGCAGCACAGAGTCTCTGTGAGGCTTCTCTGAGGCTAATTTTAAGCATCAATCTCAATGAAGATGCTTCTTCCGCCCAACAGTATCCATCTTGGACAGCCTGGTGCTTTTCTTGTTGGAAAAAAAACTAGTTTCTGCATGTAACACGACCCTGAATTTGACTTTAACTTGAGGGGAGTCCATTAAAACACTTTTACCCTGACTCTATTCTGTAACTATCATTGTTCAAATTGTAGAGGCTATAAAAGAAGTTCATATATGATGCTAAATGTAATTTAGTTGGGCAAACAAGACTACACACTTGGCATTTGTCCTTTGGCCCATTGCTGTTCACTGTTAGTAGGTCAACCTGATGCAAGAATTCACTCAGAGGCCAAACTCAGTGCCTTGAAATAATCCACGTTCCACAGGGGTTCAACTGAATCCACAATTCTTTCCCTAGTACACTCTATGCGCCCAAACTCTGTTCTTGATTCTGTATGGAAGGCAAGAAGACAGGTGTTATTATAGTTGCAGATGACATCATAATCAACAACTTAAGTTTAGTTGGGAGGTGGAAGGAAGAAGAGGAAGTGACTCCAACAATGAAACAATAATGACACAACCGTGTCAATAGATGAAACAAGTCACTTTACCTCTTGGGGTCTCTATTTCTTCTTATGTAGTAAGAGCTAAATAAAGCAAGAGTTAACTAAATTATTTAAAGGTGACTCTATGAGTGCCTGAAAGCAGACTATTGGTTAAAGAAACTATGGTACATCTATATAGTGGAATACTACACAGGTACCATGAAAAATGAAGTCATGAAAATTGTATATAAATGAACATGAAGAGCATCATGTTGAGTGGAGTCAGAAGGAGAAGGGCTGACATAAAATGATTACACACATTTGTAGATTATAAACATAGGCTAAGACTAATACCCAAGGACAGTAGAAACAAGGGTCAGGAGGATTTGTCCATGGTTGGAAGTCTGCCTCAAGTGCTGGGGGAGAAGGCAGTTGAGATAGAAAGGGACCACTATGACAATGATAGATGAAAATGATCACTCTGGATAAGAACTGAGTGCTGGAAGTAGGTAAAGAAACAAACATGATAACCTCTCAGTACCTGTATTGCAAACTACAATGCCCAAAAGGAGATAAAGAGAAAGAAGAAAATTACCTGCTACCGAGGCAGGAGGGTGGGGGTGATGGGAGGGAAACTGGGGACATTGATGGTGGGAAATGTAGACTGGTAGAGGGATGGGTGTTAAAACAATGTATGACCGAACCCAACCATGAATAGCTTTGACAGTTTTGTAACTGTGTATCTCAAGCGATTCAACTAAAATATATATAATAAATAAAGGTAACTCTAATTTCATGATAGCAGTGAGATTTACCTTTATAAAGATCTCTTAAAAGTTAATTCACTCTCAGTTGTGGGGAAAAGTTGGTTAAGCACTGCCGCTTCATTTACTTTTCCTGTCAGTACACATCCACAGATGAGACCTAGGAAGCCAGGAAATGGCGTGTGTGTGTGTGTGTGTGTGTGTGTGTGTGTGTGTGTGGTGTGGTGTGTGTGTGTGTGTGTGTTGGTGTATGGGGGGGAAGAGAGAAAGAGGCACTCTTTTTGATAGAGACAACTAAAACTGGAAGATATAAGATGAAGTTAAAATCCTTCGTTTAGGAGAGAGAAAGGTGAGTGAGACAGGATTTTTCCTAATACAGAACTTGAGCTATTTCTTCAGTATGGGGTTTGAAGTTGCCTAAGTGGAGAATTTGTTGTTGGACTGTTGATGTTGTTTTAAGTGGTGAGAAATAAAAGAAGCTAAGAAGAACAGGATCAAGCTCCTGGAACCTTGACAATGGAGTGGAACATTGATAAGGTCTATCAGGTCAAGCAATTTATCCCCCTGGTTTGGAAGAAAGTTTGTGTTGGTGTTGATAGGGGATTGTGGAGGGCTTCTATCTAGAGAAAACATTAAATTAATTCATCTGGAATGAATGAGTAGATAAAGTTAACTTCTGTAAATTCCCTTCATGTTTAATAGACTGATGAATTTTTCACCCCTTTTTAATCTTTATTTTTCCTTTTAGCACAGTGGTAGGGCGTTTGCCTTGCACACAACCAACATGGCCGACCCGAGTTCGATTCCTCCGCCCCTCTCGGAGAGCCCGGCAAGCTACCGAGAGTATCTCGCCCGCACGGCAGAGCCTGGCAAGCTCCCCGTGACGTATTCGATATGCCAGACACAGTAACAACAAAGTCTCCAATGGAGACGTTACTGGGCCCGCTCGAGCAAATCGATGATCAACGGGAGGGCCTTTACTTTTACTTTACTTTAACCATTACTTATTTTAATGGTTATATAGTACACTATATAACCATTAAAATAAGTAGGGCCATCACAGTGGGAATTATAAGCTTTGCATTTCTTGCTTACCACCTATGATAAAAAAAAAAGTCATACAAACACAAAGCTACATTTAAAATAAGACCAGAAAGATATGGCATATAATACCTTTAACAGCAGGAACTTGCAGTGGGGTGAAGAAGAAATTTCTTGGCCTAGAAAGTAAGCATACTGAAATTATATTAACTATCCTTTTCTTGATTTTGGAGGTAATGGAATTTGTGATGAAAATGCAATCTAGAATGCTAAAGTATTCTATTCAGTATGAAGAATAAAATGTACAATGACATTTTAAAAGTCCACTTTGATTGGCCAAAATTTATCTCATTTATAACTTTACCTATAAACACTGACTTTTTAAATCATCTTTTCATTAACAATTGGCCAATGCACAACCCTCACCATTTTAAAAACACAGTATCTCTTTCTTATTCATAACACTTCAAACCTCTTGAAACCATTTGGATCTTTAAATTACTACTCAGGTCTTTTCAGAAAACTTTTCATATCAATACTGTCTCAAAACTACCTTTTTTCCCCATGGTATGTGTGTGTGTGTGTGTGTAGTTATCTTATAGTTCTACCTAAGTTATTTTCTTTTCTCTGTGCTGGGGATTGAACCTAGAGTCTCACACATGAAAAGCAAGTTCTCTGCCAATAAGCAACAGTCTTGACTCTTGGGACATTTTTTCAGTGGGGTCAAGGGGACTCTTGGCTTTTGGGCCACAGTTAGCAGTGCCTGGGAGCAACAGTGCTGTATTAAACCTGCAGCAGCAATAAACTTGGTTTCCTGCATGCAAAGCAAGTGCTCATACCATTGATTTATCTCATCAGCCCTATTAGTTTTTTTATGAGCAGGTAGTGTCTGTAATCTCCTTGAAAGTGAAGATATACATGTACACATATATGTAAATATACCTACATATGTATTCATTTTGTGCCCCTAACACACAATACAGAGCTTTGTATGTTAGGCATTCAAAGGTCAGTATTCACTATGTATTTAATGGATATTTATGCGCAGCACCAATGGAAACAAACATGAATCAGATGCAGTCTTTGACCTCGTGGAGATTACAGTTCAGCTAGGCAGAGAGACAAGGAATGAGTTGAATGTAACAGATTCAATGCTTGTATCAGAGGTGAATTCAG